CAGAGTGACCTACAGTGTGTGAAAGGATCACTTGGCTCCTTTCTGGGGGAGGATAGGAGAGAGTATAGTTGTTTACATCTCCATTCAAGTGATTAACGATTAAATGACAACAAAGCAAGGAATTTGTGTGGCTCCCCGAGCTGAGCGTGCCTGTCTGAGCACCTGCTGAAATAACCAGTTGTTGTGGGCAAGCCCAGCAAACACAGGCTCCAGAAAGGGACACGGTCTGGATGGGAGGTGCTGGGGAGCAGACCATGCCCTTTGTCATCCTCTCTCTGGGGCAGCACTTTGACATTTGCTCAGGATGGTTGGTGCTTTGGGTCCCCTCTCATCCCCTTCCCTCCCAGTGAGGGGAACAGCCCAGCTCTACCCTATTCCCAGCTCCAGAGAGGAGCTGCAAGGAGGTGACCCTGGGGAAAGCAGAACAAGGCAGGGGTGGGAGCATAGAAAAAAGAAAAACTGTCTCCATGTAACACAATAAATTAAATTTAAATATAGTCTTTATGAAACATGTATTTTCAACTTTTTTTTCAGATTCATTCCAGTTACCTTCATATTATAAATTCTTTACACATTCAAACACATGAGCTATAGATTCCCATCTCAAGTTCAATCAATACTCTTAACCTCAAGAAAGTTACATTGTGAAATTGGACTTTCATCTTTACTGATGGAGTCTCAGCCTTTCCTGCTTAAATAAATAAAATTGCCTCCAGCTGAGAACCTGCCTAACTGAGATAATGGAGATATTAAGGGATAGCAAAACTGTGAGATTTGCCAACTAATTTTGCAAAAAGAAAACAACATACACATTTCCCCCTTCTCCGGGAAACATTTCTAGTTTGTTTTCTAAACCATACATACATTATAACAGGGAAATAATATTCTATTCAGCTTTAGGTTAAATTATATTTAATGTTGTAATGAATTTCAACAGAGACATATTGAAAAGGAATATAAAGAATTCAGTTCTGAAAATACAGACTACAAAAATACCAAAACACAAGAGAGCTTCTGAAAAATAGCAAAATATATACAATCTGAGTTGGGAGCTAAGATGTACAGCTAACTTTACAATATCTGAGGTCAGGGTCCTAAGAAAAAAGCAGTATCATCACACAGATGAACATCTGAAGAGGACATCTTGTCCACATCTGTGCCTGACAGTGGAACCAGTTATACCAGTGCCAGTTTTGATAAGTGCTTCGCCAACCAGTCCCAAAAGATTACCAGGGTGGAGACTGCAGAGCCTGTCCAGGCCGTTCAGATCAGTATTTAGCCACTGCTGGTAGGAGGAGGTTTGTTCTGAACCCTGAATCCCTGCCTGTAACTCCATCCCTCACTTTGTCCCATGCACAACGGGAAGAATTTGGTCCTTCTTTCTTTGTAGCCACATTTTTAATACACTGTTCTTATGCCTGTCCCCAGCCTTCTTTCACCCAAATAAGTAATGCTAATGCCTTCAGCAGGCCTGGGGGAGCTGTTTTCACATTGCTTCTCTTCACTCTGCCGTTTTTGAGCAAATTGTTGGTTATAAGTTTTTGCTGAAGTTTTATGATTACCCTGTAGAGAACACTTGGAAAAATACAAAGACATTCCAAACAAGAAGCCCATTTATGCAACCCAACATGAAGTTTGCTTTTGCAAAAGCATTTCATTATTTTTGCATTCAGTTTGTGATTTTTATTTCCAAACATCTTCCAGCCTACTGCTTCCCATCCCCTCATTGTCTGTCTCTATTTGCACACTTGAGATATTCCTGCACAGTTAATAGGCAAAAATTCTATTCCCCCATCACTTCCCTAGTGGCTTATATAGGCTAATTTTCCTTATGCATAACTATTAATTTGTAATTGTGCAACATAATTAAAGGCAGAACTATTTTCTCAGAAGGAAAAGTTGAAAATACCATTTAAGAGTATCTTGCATCAGTTAATCATGTTCAATGTAGTCATGTTTACAAACAGTGATTTTAAAAAAAGGCCCTGTCAAATACTTCAGACTGTAACAGTATGAAGTTTTCCAGGATAAAATGTAAATCTAGAGTACTATGGCTGGAGTGAGCAGGGGAGGGTTGCACCAAGGAGAGAGAAGGGCAAAAATCAAGGAAGAACTAAAGGAGGAAACATTGAGGTTTTTTTTTAATTAGACACTAGAAATGAGATTATCACTTTCCTTGTCTGGAAGACTTTTTCTACTTTGTCACCCCACCACCCTCTTTTGTTCTTTCTTGCCTTGTACTTACTTTCAGTGATACCAAGGCACTGTTGTGGATTTGGGTTCATGGTCACTAAAAAACTCCTACAGCACCACCTACCTAAAGTGTCTGTATTCCTCAGTTCTGCAATATTTATTTTGAACGTGCCAAAGAACCAATCCAAATTTAGCCTCATAAATCTCTGTTTCAGGGCTTCCTTCCCCCTTTCTTCACCACAAATGAGGATTTTAATTGCCATGGAAAGGTGCAGTGATCTACCCCTGTGCCTGAAGCCCAGTCCCAGGGCAGGCAGGGAGAGCCAGGGCTGCTAAAGGACAGCAGTTATTTAGGAGCATGCATAGCATCTGATTTCTCTAGGAAGAGTGAGGGCTGTGGTGCTGGGTTACCGGTATAGTCCAGAGAGCTCAAACTACCAGCTCTGACTCACCCTCTCTTAGAGCAGACAAGGCACTGGGTCTTAACTACAGCTCACATTACTTTTCTTGCATAGAAAACAGTCAGACACCAAGAAGGGTGGGGAGAGCATGAAGTGGCAATATGAAAGTAGGAGCACAGGAGAGAGGCTAACTGCATTTCTCATTTTCTGAGTACGAAGTGTGATCAAAGTTGAAAATGCCTACTTCTGTAAGCCTTTTAAAATTTAAATACTTCAGTGCATAGGAAAAGCCTACAAGATAAGAATCAGAGACAAAGCATTTAACATCCCACACATTTTTACAAAGTTACAGCAGCTTTTTTCTTAGATAATCCATTTTACATTCCTAATTATTTCTGCACTGTGTAAAATATGCCTGCATATAAAGTTTACAGTGACTTCTTTTGCAGAGATTAGACAAATATGTACAAAAGATTTTTTTTATTAAAATGTCAAATGCAAAAATTAGAGGTTGAAAAACACTTGAATTACAAAGAACTATTTTAAACTGTGTGCAAAATTATGTAAAAAAGACTTTTTTGCTATTTCAAAGAACAAAAGAGATCAGACTTTGTAGGTTCAGGCTGAACAATTTTTGTGTTAAGAGCAGCTTAATACTTTACCAAGCAGAAACCCTCAAGGATTTGCACAATTTCAGCACCTGTGCTCTCAGGGAAGGGCTTAGTGGTCTGTGTGTGCATGTCTGAAAATTGTGCATGAACTTTAAAACAGTAACAGATCCATTTGGTCACTTCCAGAGTTCTGGTGGTTTTTCTCTTGAGCACAACTGGCTTGAGAAGCAGAAAAGCTGGAAACAATCAAAATCTCCATCTAGGCTTGCTGTGTTTGTTCAAAACATCAGAAAGGGTAGAGGGATCTGCATGAAAGAGTTGTGCAGGTCACTGAACACCATGATAAAAGCAAATATTAATTTCTTGATTTCCTAAATTAAAGATCTTCCCAGAAGAACCAACCAAAAGCTTTCACTTTCACCTTGCGCACACACAGTTTTAACGACATTTTCTACTAAAGTTAAGAGTGCTTCAATAAGAGTATACCTGAATTCATTCACTATTTCATGACCTTTTACCTTTGGAAGTGAAGCTTTAAAATCAAGTCTAACATGGCAATGCCATTCCTATGTCTCAGAGCCTGTTTGAGCTACTTTCCTGTCTCTGGGCCAACACAGGCAACTAGCACTGCTAAGCTGTACACTGGCTGAAAACAAACACAAACCCCATGAGTTTTTCCAGCTGGATCAGGAAGCTTCCTGATCCAGTCACTGGATGGCAACACAATAAATGGATGGGAAGTGATGTAGCACAGTTTAGGCCAGGAGTCCACTAAGCAGCTAATTATGGCTCTGTCAGTGCAGGGACAGGATTTAGCTTCATCAATCCAGCCAAAGGACAGCTTGTTAGACAACAAGCTGAGATGGTCACTTAAACACATGCAAAAGTAGCACACTTGGAGCAGATGACAGTGAGGTGATGCTGCAGGTAAAGCTTTTGACCAGAAGTAGATTATACCCTGGGCTAAGATGTCTGTGTCAAAAGCAGAAGAATTAGGAAAAACAGACTGTTTTGCTGCTATTTTTCAGATGGAAAGCTGAAAAAAGGAATAGAGGAAAGAAAGGGGGGTAAAAAAAAAATCTAATAACTTTGTTAACAACATATTTTTTTCAAAGACTAGAGATTACAGAAGCATTTCTTGCAAATACATTTCTATATCTTCCTCTAAGACTATGAGCCTTGCAGTTCAACTTGCATTTTTCTGCACAAATGCTTTCTGGGTGACTTCACCCTTTGTTCCTATACAGAAGATCAAGTAATCCAAACTTGAAAGGCTGAAGCAGCCTGATCAGAAAGCTCACAAAAGCAAGAGAGTAGCTGCTATTATACAAACTACTTCATTGCTGCAATTTTACATCAGTGTGAAGCTTAGATATTGGATTCTGTAGTTACCTAAGAAAGTGGCTTATTCTAACCAACACCTCATTTTAGTGCATTGCTAGGAGAGTAACATCATCTCCACACTTTGCTCCACAGAGAAAACTGGCTCTGAGAAGCTTCCTGCAGGTTCTCAGTACTGCTACTAAAGCTTAAAGTAGCATGCATTTGAAGCCCTGGGAAATGTACAGAGCAGCAGCCCTTAAGATGACTGGAGTAGTTAAAATCCTTTAAATTATGGCTTTCATAGGGTTTTACATATTGTAGTGTGACATTCTGGACACAGCAAAGTGTAGCCACCTTCTCAGGGCAGCAAATGACAAATTATTTAGAGTATGGTGGTTATCTGAATAAAACACTATGATACCCACAAGCCCTATCTCCTGGGGTTTGTTATCCTTACCTTCACTAAGGAAGTCTAACTGCTGGGGCCTTTAAATGCAAATCCATTCTTTGGACACTGTCCTGGCCGCATCATTTGTGTGTACAAGTCCATCCTCTGCTGCATACTACAAACACAAGTTGAGATAGAAGCAATCAGAAGCGAAACTAGTGCAGAAGAGAGCCAGCAGCTGGCTGTGCAACCTTAACCTTTCTTAAAGTGCTGGGCAGACACTGAAGTTCAGGCTGCAGAATTAGACATTCATAATGCTCTCACCACCATGGCATTAAGTGCAATTCAACAACAGAAACAACACTGGGGTTATCAGCTTTCCCTAACAACAACACATTTGTACACACAGGATCTTGTTGAAGACCACTGTCCCCAGACTCTGGCAGCCCCAACTGTCTGACCTCAAGACAGTGTCCTTGGAGACTGGAGACAAACATCTCCTGCACAGCCACACATGCCCAAAGTCTCTGAAGGAAAAGTTTACATGCTCACTACTAAATAGATTTGCATAGACCATTCACCCCTAAAGTTGTGCTAATACTGAAGGATGTCACTGGCTTCTCCTATTTACTCAATAATTTGATGAAAGTAAAAAAAAAATTATGAACTCACTCCTCCAAGAGCTCATACTTGCGCAAAGCTACCTTAATTTTCCTTTATATCCTGAGCATGGCATCAAGCACCTAACCATTTCCATTGCTATTTCAATGCTGTTCCTTAGACCTGGAATAACCTCTCCAAACCACACTAGAGAGATAGCTCTCAGATGACCTCCACTTCTGTGCTCCCAGCCCAAGACTATGAAAATATCATGAAAAAATTTCTACTGGGCTCTATCAATCTTCCCTTTGTGTCCTTACATTGGTGTTTCAATCCTTAGCTAAACTAGTGTTCACGAAGACTAAGTTTGGCCCAAAGGCTACTGGCCTAAGATGCTTTGTGGAGTCCTCCTCCCTCCACATGAGTCCTACAGTGAGTCCTAGCCTATATTGCACCTCCCTAAATTGAAGCTCAGCTTCTTGAGTGCCTCTGTAGCTTCCAAGTCCAGTAGACACATTTGCCCCCAGGCATATGTCCTCACTGGTTTGCAGTCTTGACCTCACTGAGTTCCCATTATCTGCAAAGCCCTGAGTCATCTTTATGCAGCAGAGTATGGAAGGGAAGAGTTTCATCACAGCAGGTAACAAGTAAATCCAGCAGCCAAGCCATTCCTGGACATAATATATAGATGTTTATAGCCTCCCTGCAGAGAAACCTCTTCAAGGTGTTTCAGGAAGTGAATGAAACTGACTGAGATTTAACGCTGCTGCTTCTACAGGGAACAGCTGTCCATGCCTAGAAAGAAAGCTGCTTTTCCTTTTTCCACAGGAACTGTTTATGATACTTGTTTATTCTCACAACTGTGCTCTGGGCACCTTTGTGACAACATCTTCACTGCTGGTTCCACTAGATAGCAGAGATAGCCTGGTGCCAAGGACAACACTTGTAATTATTTTTGTCAATTTTGAGCCTATTATCAGAAAAGACAGCTGTTGGAAGGTAAGACTTCATGCTCTAGAGAACCATCTTCATGCAAACTTGTCACAACACCTCTCACTAATCATTTCCTGTATGCCTTTTCTGTTATACTAGTAGTAATACAAATCCCTAAAAAACAGTCAATACACGTTTGTACTACTCAGATTCTCAAACATAATACCCAAGAGTCAGCTCATGACACTAATGAAGCCAAAAATAAGTCTTCCTCAACACTGCACCATTCAGCTTTAGAACTTACAGCCATCACATGCTGTCTCCAACCTTTTTATTTAATGTAGCTATAGAGCAAGGATATGAATTCATGGCAGATATGCCCATCCACAGTTTGGATGCAAGCTCCAGGTCAGTATCTACCAAATACATCTGGGGATGGAACTCCCCACAGCTGCCAGCAAGGCAGCATTTGCCTCCAATTACTTATCTTTCATGGACTGTTGAGACACAGCATCTTTTGTGGTCAATGGCAACTGCCAGATTTTAAAGGTTAGTGCCACAAAGGGACATGCTTGTCTTGCTTTAAAGCAATATTAATGCTGCAATAATATAATTTATTCAGGAGTAATAAAGAAAAATATTTTATTATGCTCAAAAGATTCAATCTGTAGATGTTGGAAACTTTGATATTCTTTTTCAGGCCTTTCATAACCTTTCTCAAAGGCTAAGGGTGCTACATGCTCCTACTCCCTAAGAGAAGATAACATATGGACTGTTCCCAGCCCATTCTATGTTCACCTAGTCTGAGGGGTGACAACCTCCCAGAGGAACAGCAGCAAGTGACTTAGAGTGGTCATGTCTCCAGATGGAAAAGAAGTCAATAGAAGACACATGAAAACAGTGAAAAGTGCATAGGCAGGCATACAAGACAAGCATTCCAGCCTATATTCTCTGACCAAACAAGCCTCAGGAACAAATACTTGCATGTTTTACATGAGGCCAGACAGAATTTCTACAGTTGTTCTTAGTAGGTGTATATCACTATATAATGATGCAGTGCAAGAGCTTGAACTCTTTTTATATCCTTTAGTTCTTGAAATCAAATATGAACTGAAGCGTTTCCCAATGCAAACCTTTTTTCCTTATGAACTGATCCCTCTTCTTGAATCTCATCAACAGGCAGATTGGATTTTTTTCCAATCAGTATTTCTGAGATTGTTGTATTCTCCAAAGAATCTCAAAATAAAACAATTAAGTTCAGAAATCAGTTTTGGATGCAAGAACAAGTTTTCACATGTGCTAAAGGTTGATATTGGCATTCAAGCAGCATTTATATACCTCAAGGGATCCCAAATATTCATGACTAAAATATTATGCAAAAACATTGAGGTTCATGGTCTCTCCTGATTTCCTAACAAGTTTTTCCATTATACATTTGGTTAACAGATACCAATATCCAGAAGGAAGCTGTTTATATTACAAGTGGGTGTGAGTTGGGAGCAGTCAGCATACATAACCAAGCAGCTTTTCAGATCTCTGCCAAGTATCTTGCAGGTCCATCAAGAGAACCACAAACATACCCAGCACTATTTGCACATAGGAACAAATATGGGCATAGACACCATCTAGAGGTTTCAGCTCTCTCCCTGCAGATTTTCTATCCCTATTTTTCCTTTGACTTTTTTTATCTGTAGTCCTGAAAGTTTTTTGTTTGTGAAGTATATTAACTGTTGTCTGCTTTGTGACAGATACTGACAATATCCTTTCATCAAGCTACTGATTAGTAGCTTCTATTAATTTCAGGACTGTAAAGCAGGTCCTGATTGCAAGTTAGTCTTACTTCATATCCCTTACTGTAATACTCAGAGAAGCACTAGCAGTGAAAGAGAACTTGTCAGACTCATCCATTAGTGTTTCAAGATTAAGTTATTTCCCCTCTTTTCGAGGCCTAGGAAGCTCAGCAGACCCAGAGCACCTCTGCAGCACCTCAAAGTGAGATCCTCTGACTGAAGCCAGCAGGAGGAACAGGAAAAGTAAAGGACACACATTACCAAGTAGCCTTCAGAAAAACTCAAAATTTGACAGATGATCAGAGACTTCAGTGAAGAGCAGATCATTTCAGAAACTGGTAGGGATTTTCAAGCACTCCTTGGGCAGGTATGGGACATTATAATGTGCACATATACACAAGCTTACAGCATAATGTCTATAGTGTTCACTACTGGAAAGCAGCCCATGAGGAAATGCAGCTTCAGTATAAAGCTTTTTTAGAAGTGGTTCATACAAAAGTTAATAGTAAATTTTGTGGTACAATCACCAAAGTTGAAAGTTTTAACATGCTACTTTGTTCACAAAAACTTACAAGACGTGTTACTAGCAAAAGTACTTACACAGCCTGTTCCAACATTGGAATGTTTATCCACATTTAAAGAAAGAAAGGCTGCATAACTTGACAAACAGTAGAAGTAGGAACACTAAACCATCAGGTCACCTGTTAATCAAACAAACATTTAGATCCCTGTGACTATATAATCATGGAGGAATATTACAGATGGTATACTCAACAAGGCAGACTTTTTTAAAATTAAAACCCAAAAAACTTTCAGGTCCAAGGAGTCTTATTCCAAAATCAATCCAGCTCTATCCTTGGAAATATCCTCCTTCAAAAAAAACCTCCTTCCACCTATCCCTGGAAACAAAGCTCCTTCAATGCAGATACCTTCCCCACATTTAATCAGACAACCTGCTGCCCCCCTCTGCCTACTGAAATCAACTTCCCAGCTGGATAAGGCCATGGTAGCATGACAGCAATAAGCAGGGGGAATGGATCCAGAAGCTCTGCCACAGAAGACTGCAACAGTCTGCCCTGGGTAGTGCTGGGACTTCCAACACACCCCTGTTAAGGCTGCCTCTGAGTAAAGTGAAGCACCCAGCAATGTACCTTGGTGCCATGAATAACCTGAGATCATTGCAAGTGTTTCAAAAAGCCACCTGCGTGGATGACACACATGCCTTCAGGCACAACAGACAGATCTTCTCTCCCACCATTGAACTGTGTTGTAAAATAGACAAAAGGAAAAACTGTACTCATACTGATCTTTGCAGCAAGCTTGCACAATGCTGCTGTAACAATTAATCCCTCATAAAAATCCAGTTGTTTTACTAGTTAGCACAGGAACAGTCAGAAGATGACAGTAAGAGGTGGTACCTGAAAATCAAGTCATTGACAATATTAAGGAAACAAAAGGAAGAAGTCCCCACCAGTCTCCATGGCAGCATTTTGTGTGGTGGGCTGAGTAAAAACTTGGACACTGCTACCAGCAACAACATTTTAACAGATGTACCAGCCTTGAAGAAAGGTGGGGTTTGTTTGGTATGGTTTAATTTAAATAATTTTGCTGTTCTGATATCCAGATAGCTGTTGATCAGAGCATTACTGTTCTGCTGCTTTCACCCACCATGGCAGTTTTACTAATTAAAACCTACAAATGAAGGGATAATGACAGCCTATGGAGGCATGCAACAATTAGTCTTCCCATCTAATGCACTCCTCCTCCAATGACATATGGTAGTAGTTAAAGGCATCCCTGCTGTTCTAATCCTAGGCAAGCTACATTTATTTTGAAAGTGAGTAATTAAGTGTCCCCTCCAAACAATCAATCATTCTGGTGACAAATTTGTGACATTAACTAAAGAGTTAAGGTTATTTTGACAAATTCATGATGGAGACGAGCTCAACAGAACAAGGACAGGTAATGAAGAGTCCCAAATTCAGACACTTAATTTAAAACATTTGAACTCCATTTATGGGACAGCAACTAAAAGCCACGAATAAGCTTTTGTATCCAGTGAGTCCATCACCGCAGATGTGATTTCATGCAATCAAAGCTGACATACTTAGCATAAAAATAATAATAAAAACAAAATCACAAGAGTTTAAGAGATGTGGCCCAGAGTGTTGATGTGATGCTGTGAGTACAACTAAAAGAGGTTTTGTTTCTGGCTGCTGCTGTTCTCCATCTGTGACAGAGCTCCCAGGCTAAATACACATATGGTTGTTTCCTAACCCAGTTCTGTCAAGTGATGCTGGTTAGCCAGACACAGAGATATGTAAACAAAGCTGCTGGCAGCAGCTCTGAACAGTATCGCCCACTTGTTACTAGGTTTGCCAGTTTTGAATTCCCTGCAACTTAACTGTGCTTCAATAAGAATCTGAGCAATAACCAAGGTTAGAAAAGACTCACTTGTTTCCCATGATGATCATTATGGAGAATCTGATTCATCACAGAGAACAAGTAAGACTTTTTTCTAACCTTGATTATCGCTCAGATTGCTCATTTTACTTTTACACATACATGTGCACGTATGCATACATAAATATCAGTGCTATATGTATGTTGCATATGTATATACTTCTACAAGGTTATAATGTATATACTCCTACCAGGTATAATGAGAAAACCCAAACCTTATCCAGAGCAGGAAGGGACATAAGCAGACATGAGAACACTAAGACATTACCCTGTATTTCCCTGTGCAGCAAGTGTCAGAATCATACCTTTATCACATAAAAAGGCCTTTTAACTCAAACCACTCCACTGGAGAGAACTGTACACACTGGTCCAACAGAGAGATAACCCCAGCTTAGCCACTATTAGACAAACACTGGAACAGACCCACACTCTTGAGCAGTACCTGTATCTCTCAAGACAAATCCCACAAAGGTGTGAACAAACAAATTTACCTACCCACCCTGGTTCAACAGCACAAGAATTTACCATAGGGGTCAGAACACAAGAACGCTCTTCCACTTATTTGGAGTTCAAGGACTTTTTGAGCCAGGTGTGGTTTCTGTGTATTCACTAACTCACAATGAATTTCCTGCCATGGAATTTATCCAGTTTGTTTGAACCTACACCAGGTTTCAGTTTCCATATCATGTTTTGGCTATGAATCGTACAATTAAGAATCTCCTCTTTCCACTATGCTATTTAAAATAATTCCTTAAAAAGGAAAAAACATAAATGCATTACTACATGTATGGATTTTGACAGATACTTTTGAGGCTTTGAAGGCACTGCTTAAAAGTGATAAAAATGGCATCAGAACTTAATAAATACAATAAGATTCAACTTTGTTTTAAAACTGTTTACCCTGTAGCAATAGCTTTCAAGTTTGTATACAGTAAAAGTTCCTATAAGATGTGTCAGCAGTTGCCAAGTAATGCAGTTATTTCCAATGTACCTATAGCACCTAGTACACCTAGTGTTAGATAAAGGAAAACTCCCCCTTCCCATGAATCCTATTGTTCTTTCTTAAAAACTTGAGACTAGGCAGCGAGCAAGACCACTGATTTGCTGTCAGAACATGTTGCCAGATATAATTACAAGCTGAACAGTGATATCAAAGACTGACAGATCCTGAATAACTTGCTCTTCCTCCTTTTCATTAGGAGCTCACTAAAGCTATTTTAATAGCTTAGAAGGCATCCGTTTCTTTACACCACTGGTTCCATCACTAAAGCTGTAAGAGCATTAAGACAAGTCTGAGAGTTTCAGGATATCTGATAGGTACTGAAAACCAAACAAATATCTCGTACCTTTGCACCATTTAAGTTGATTTCTGTGCAGAAAATGGAGTTGGACCACTATAAAGCAACTTGACCTTGTAAAACACAAGTTGTAGAAGCTTTTGGCAGCAGCTCAAAGAAGTTTCCTTATTTCAATAAATATTCACCAGTTAGATTTATGAACCATTGTCTGATCATTACCTACCAGCTCTATATTACTTTTCCTGGATGTGCTTTTAAATGGAACACTTAGTACAGAGGATACCCCATTCTTTCCTGCTGCACATACTTAATTTTTGACTTAAACTTCAGAACCAGAAAGCTACATTTAGGAGAGTTCTGATTGCTACTTCAAATGGACTCAATTATTTTTTGCACTCTGAACAAAGCACAGGAACTTGCCTGAAAGGAGTAAGTATTAAAGAAGAACAAAAAACAAAAAAAGAGAAACAAACAAAAAAAACCCCAAAACAAAGCTAAACCCAAAAAAAACCAAGTCAAAAACATCCTCTTCAAAGAATCACTACATCTATTGGAGTATATACAAATTGTCTGTAGATCAAACATTCTGGATAGAAAAGCAATAACTAAACACTGAATCTCACAACAAAGAAGCCAACTTGAGTCCAGAAATTTTTCCTTATTTTCTTTAAAAGGGCAGTATTTGTAATTGGCAGTGAACTTGTGTAATAATGGTTTCCTAAAAACAGTGAACAACTGCCAGTTAGACAAGAATATAAAAAGGATATTTTGGGGCTTGGGATTGATGGGTCTGTGACCGACATCCATGCCCACAGCCTAAGCAGCCAGTGATGAGACTCATGTGGGAACTCCCTCAGTGAGAAATCACTAGGGCCTGACATTTAGCCTGCAGTGGCCAGTCTATTCTCATCTTAAGAAGTGAGTCAGTAACCACAGACTATTACTGCTACTGTGTTTTCATGAAATATAGAACTGTTATTGAGAACCTTGTTTTATATTGCCAGTGCAAGTTTGGAATTTTATTTTTCTTAATCTTACATCAACAAGGCTGAGTTTGGTAATATCATAACCATACGACAGATATTGAAGGCATTATAGAAACTAACTCATGAGTGAAAGAAACATTTTAATAAAAAACCACAACAGTCATTTCACAGACATATAGGTAAAGTAGTAAGAAAACCTTTATCTTACAGGTATTGAAGTGCTCATATTGCTTAACAGCTTCCTAACTAGCTATTTGGTCCCTGCTGCAGAGATAAAAAACTTGAGTTGTTTAGCAGATTTCCTAACAGAGAAATGGTTTATGGCTTAAAGGGAACATGGCTCCTTCCAAGGCCTCATGACTGCAGAGGGCAACAGGTATCCAGAGAGTTTGTTCTGTAGCAGGTAGCTAACACATCCAAAAGAATCAAAAGCCCTTTGTGAGAGGTGTTGATGTTGGAAGGACAGGAAGAGCACATGCCTCTATATGCCTTACCTGTGCATTCAATACAACATGTAGTCATAGAAGTAAACAGTTTTCATCATAAAGGTCAAAAGTTATTTTGTTACAAACACAAAGAGGCAGTATTTCAGAAGTTGCTAAGGCAGACCCCAGTCCACCCATTCTAAAGAGGGGCCAAGGGCTTCTTTATGGACATGGCAAAGAGTACTGCACATGTCAATTCCCACTGAGGGCATAACAAAATAAACAGGTAAGTTTGAGAGGAATGTTAGGTGAAACAAACACAAAAAATATACCACTTAAATGTGTGTACTAGGTTAAAACAAACAAATACACTAACCAGCCCCCCGTCCCCCAAACATTGCTACCTGCAATACCCTAAAACTTGGAAAATCCCTAGTTATCCTGAAATTGTTTCCCTGAACAAGATACCAACAAGCTGTTTGTGGTATCACAAGTCCTTAGTAGAGCAGACAATGTTCTTTTGTGAGTTTTGTGCATTTGCTGGGGACATTTAAAAAAAAAAAAAGAGACTTCTGTGCTGCTGCTTGGGTTTTCCTCTGCTTTACCTGGGGTAATAAGCTGTGTAGTTCATGAAGAGCTGAGCCCCAGCAGGGTAGTAGGCTGTGGAGGGCTGGAGTGTTCGTGGGTTCAGAAGCATGGATGGCTGATACAGAGCAGCTTCTGTTGGCACAACTGCAGCAGGAGCCGGAAAGGAGTAGGCAGGGGGTGAAAGGCCTACAGGGAGCAAATGGAAAATAGATTAGGACTTCTGAAATTCCAGAGCTAATACATACACACACAACTCCACAGGACATCAGGAACCTTCTCATCCTTGTTCACCACAGAAAAGAAACGTGAGCCACCAATGCAAGTGTGACTACAGGGTGTTACACTTAGCATCCAGCCTATGGAAAAGTCAAAAATCACAAAAAAATCACCTCTTGCTCTGGGAAACAGGGTCCCTTTCTGATACATAGGTCAGTTTTGCTTTTCTAGGCTCATATTTTAATGAAGTCTGCATTCAAGACCTACAAGACTTCTGCACAGTAAGAAGTAAGTGTCTGTGACAAAGATCTGTTTAACATTCAACAAAACAGAGAAGACTTTCATCCTGGTACTGTTTATGCCTTAATTAAATCAACAGCAGAGTGAGAAAAGCCATGGCTTTGCAGCTTGAAGTGTTAGCACTAAATGAAAAAAAAAACCCAACCAAAAACCAAAAGTGTACTTTGTGCTGTTTCAGCAAGAGGTTAGGCCCTAAATGAATTCTCACTGATGAGAGTTCACCCTCCTCCTTTGCTTAATGCTTCTCCTCCCTATTTCCATAGAACTGAACATAAAGCTTTATCTAAAGTAAGCCTTTAATTTTACTATTCAGAGTTACAGCCAGCATCTCACTGTATTGTAAAATGTGGAATGACAGGGCCAAAAGGCTCTATCTGAGGAATACATCACAGGCATTTGTAATTGGAAATGGGAACGCTGACCAGTGCGTTTCCAAAAGTTTGTGACTCTGCCCAAGAACCTGTCCCAGAAGCTGTCAGGTTCCAACCCATCTGGAACAGCCTTCACATACAGGGCTATCTACTGCTGACCCCTACTCAAGATACTTTTGTTGAAAGAAAAAAAACCCTCTCCCAAGGATTAGCTGAAGGTCTACTTACACTCAAAAAAAACCACCCCAAAGGAAGTTGGCAGCTGCATTGGCAGCTCTGACTAGCATGTAGAGGACTTTTCAGAAAAGATCTACAACCAAAAAAATACACTTACATAGACACCGAGAAAGCTACTACTTGACTACCTTGCCATTTATGACTTTGGAAACAAAGTATTATTTTTTCCCATAGGCTCAGATTTATGTGGCACAGATGCCTTAGCAAGTTAGCCCTTAAGCTCCTCAAATATTTCCCCCAAAAGTTTGCATAGAAGTCAGTGTTCACCCTAGTAGGTCTGAGAGTCAAAATTTAAAAGGAAATACAGATTCTGCAATTCTCTGAGGCAGAAGCCACGTGTATATCACTCCCACAAAGCCAACCTCCATTTCATATGAACAGCAAAAAGCAAAGGAAGAGTTCAGTCAGTTGCAGCTCAAAAAGCAGAACATATGATTAAGTCTCAAAGGGGAGCATTACCTATGGTTTCTCAAATTAAGTTTTGGAACTGAAAAGGGAAGGTCTCTTACTTGACATGCTCACCATGACAAAAAAAAAAAAAGTACAGATCAGTTAAAATACAAAACGATTCTTTAAGGTCTAGGTAGGGCTTAGAAATTACTTTTCAGAATCATCACTCACACCAACCAATAAAGTTTCAAGGAGGGGAGGAAAAATTTGCCACTGGAAAAGCAATAGTTCTTCAGTCATAATAATTTATAACCAAAGGGAAAAACAATAATTGCAAGCTGGTGATGATTTAAGACAAAAGACCTTATTTTAACACACCCATCTCATGATGCTACCCAAGAACCAGGACAAGAGTCAGCAAAGCAGCTCCAGTACCTACCCACACACAGTGTAGAGCAGAGTGGCAAGACCCAAGCAAAACTTACATGGTAACTTACATGGTGGCGGGGACAAGCCATTTCGATTTAAAGTGCCCCCCATTAATACAAAGTTCATCTCTTCAGCAGAACATTGAAAGACTTCAACATATCTGTCCTTCATAGTCTTCTTATGACACTTCTGTGCAGCCAGGAAGGCTCGATCTGCAGATTTCATCTGAATGAAAGCATCTCCCGATGGACGTCCCTACAAACAAGGCAGACAAAAAAGAAATGTTTCTGTAGGTTCCATGAAGGAGCAGAATTGCAATAATTTGTGCTGTTATAAGTCTCTTCACTCATAAATATATTCATCTCCAAAGTCAAGTACAGCCAGTCATCGTGAGCACTCACCAGCATGATTAAGCTCTCCTCTCTAAAGTTTTTCCCCACTTGTGATAACTTGATTGTATTTATTCACCTGTTTTGATTAAGCTACATTGTAACTTGTTACATCTATATCTAAAAAAAAAGACACCTATGGGAGAGACTGTAATTCAGTAGTACTTTGGTGCTATGAGACCTGCTCTTGCAAATTTACTATGAATGCAGAATTGGAAGATCTAGTCCCCATTTATTACCTGTGATTTTTAATATTCATTATAAAAGTGCTCATTGCTAAACAATGTGTTTTAAATTTTATTTTCTGAAGATCAGCATGGGATGGGATGCTTTAGTAGAGTACTAACTAGCCCAACATTTAGTATGAGCTTGCAGAGAGGAAAAAAACCATCTCTGTATGTGTAAATGAGTGGGATACACCACTGGGAGGAGTTATTTTAGCCACATGCAGCTGCTGATTTGAAGCAGCCAAAGCTAGAGAGAAATCTGAAGCTGGCTCAAACTCAAGCTCTGGGCCAGTCCTTCTCATTTTGGAGGGGACAACAACACTGTTAGCATCCTTTACACAGTCGTTTATGATTAGAGGATTGAAACCTGGGAACTTTGAGAAAGATAAAAACCTTGTAGTCAGGCAAAAGCAGTATTTGGGGAGAAAAAAAAAAGTCTGATAGCTTTGGGCAGAGCAAGAGTAGCAGACAGCCCTTAGGGTTATATGCACACACCAATTTCCTTATCCAGGTTCTTTCATTAGTGCTGTCAAGGGCTGATACTACTGTAAATCATTACTTCTGCTTTAGTATTTGCACTTTTCTTAGTCTCTCCCAGCACTACACATTCATTAGTTTTTTAGCCTTGTCTAGGTCAAGTTTCCACAGACACAGGAATGTCTTTAGATAGACAAGTACTGAAATAACTACAGTCCTTTCTCCATCCCCATATTCCTGAAACACAGAAGTCCTACTTGGGACCAGGAAGTATTTTTTAGTTTTGGCTGACATTCAGCCTAAGCTAAGACAATTTTAGAACCATAATTTTTATAGAGTTTTTTAATCAGCTTGTTCCATTGAACCACTCAGAGCATCTCCATGGAGTTAAAGGATTCCTCCCCCTGAAGTCACAAGAATAGAAAGATAAAGATCAGAAGAATGCACAATCCTTTGTCTAAAAGGTTTTCATAGAAACTGCTTCCATAAAACAATGGCAAAGATGTGACACTTTATACACATCAATGAACCATTAATCTTGGTGCTAAGCTGTGACTGTTTAAAGCAAGCAAGAACACAGGAAACCTTCTGACTTTTGACATGGGAATTCCTGTCTCTAGAAGGCTGCAGTCACATTTGTCCTCAAATATACTTGTGGCACATTGTTCAGCAAGGCAGGGACAAACCACTCCTTTGAGAGCTAACATTGCCCACACTTGTGTTTTGATGGCACTCCTCACCAGGTACAAGAGGAATCATGCACACTGTTGAGCAAGACTCTTCACTTCAAGCCTCCCACAGCTCAGGATCATGGCTGCTATTCCGGGAGCACCAACCCCTCCAAAACAGGCTCAGCTTTCAGCACATGGGTCTCAAGGAAAGAAACCACTCTACAGCAAATGCAGCAGTCTGCACAGCAGGGCTCAAGTCATCTGCTGCCAGCACATTTTAAGAGGAGAGCAGGAGGCACATTAGTACAATTACTGCTAGTCCCAAAGGTGCTTCCCTATGGATATCATCATCAGGACTGTATTCACACATACAAGCATTTGGCAGAGTGGCTAGAAACATGTTGCCTACCAACCTGGTGATTTAGAACCATGTGAACTCCATGGGTCCGAATATCTGTAGAAAACTCTCCCAGGAACTCCAGAATGTCCTCTATAGTAGCAGCATAGGGAAGCCCACGCAAACGTATGCAGTCTCTGATGTTAGTGGGAGGCACAAATTGTTGAGGTAATACTGGAAGAATTGGAGGTGTTGGGAGAGGAATGAGAGGTGTGGAAGAGTACCTGTTCAGCACCTGTGCAAAACAAAAACAGATTACAGAAGCCTCCTCACTCATTCTTCAACCTAGAACGAGTAAACACAACCCCAATGCCACCTGTTTTCACTCTGGGCAGTATTTTAAGGTACAAATGAGCTAGAGACAAACATTAACTGCAAAATATCTGCTTTCTAAGCACTGTGGTTTAAGCTCAGAATCTAGCAGACTTCTATAGTCATTCTATGATAAATAGTCTATTTTAAAACAATATGCTATTGTTTTAAAATATTTGAGTTCTTTTTTTCTTTAAAAACAGTTTTGTTTTGGGAAATTTACTTGAACAGATAATGCAAGTCTCAATAGAGATCTTAGAACATGAAACCTGTATATCTTAATTTCTTGGATACAATGACGTGGCTACAATTTGCATCACAGATACCTTTTAGAGTCATGCCGAGAAGTTATCTACCTCTACTGAAGCTCTGCAAATATTTTTGGAGACTTAAACAGTCCACTCAGCTCTCCTCCCTTTCCCTGACAGCTTAGCTGCAATTAATAGTCCACCAAGCCCTGTTAATCCAGACTCATCACTTTGAAACTCCTACCACCCTCTGCCAGGTAGCCTGTGCATCTGCAGAAGATGGCAGAGATCTGCCCTTAAAGACAATTTGTAGAATTCTTCAGACACATTACACTGGAGAGGACCACTATATCAAAAGGCTTTGCTTTTTTGTGTCACTGACTAAAGATAAACCTTTTAGCTCAAGATTTGTTGCTAAACACTCCTGAATAGATAATCATTGGACTTAGTCAAATTCAGAATATATAGTGTAAAGCACAACACCCACATCCACATTTTACAAAGCTATTGGAAGCCAAAATCCCAAAGGTTTGTATATGATTGAGAACATCCCTATACCATAAGATCTTACATTTAAAGGAAACAAAGTCTCCACAGAAATTCAGACAATACTCGTTCCAGCAAGAGTCAAGAGTGAGAAAAGGTAAAAGAAGCTTTCAAGTCAAGGCCCAGCATTATTTGCTTCCTCTACTGCCAGCATAGAAGTTTGGACTACAAAAAGCCAACATTTGAAAGGTTTGCACCCACCTGCTGAACTTCTGCTGCAGTGCTCCGGAAGAGTTCAATGTACCTTTTCCCCAGCAAATCCTTGTGCTTTTTCAGTGCATTTTGTGCATATTCCTCACAAGCAAACAAGACAAAGGCATCTCCTGTTGGCCTGCTGTCAGGGTAAGTGACAAACAGGACTCCCTCCTTTCCTCCTGTTACAGGGCAGTGCTGGCCAAAGAAAGTCAGCACTTCTTCTGTTGTTACATTGAAAGGAAGACCTCGCATCCTGACAATCACTTGGTTTTCTTTTGACAAGAACTGTGCAACCTCATTGGAAGTACCTTTAACAAGAAAAAAGTACAGAAGCACTTCAGTCTAGTATATAAAAATCATGTTACCCCATCATTTAGAGGAGATTGATCTTTATTCAAAGGAAAAATAGGGAGTGCTTGCAACATTCAAAGCTCAAGGAAAGCGCAATCTGTCAATCTCTTGTGTGAGCGGGACCTGTGCTATTGTTCCCCTTGTCTAACTGTGGAATACCTCTGGCATGCTCTGGAGCCATACTATATGGCAACCAAGTCCCCAGATCATTGTCCTGGGAAAGAAAGCTGGAAGAGCAGCTTGAAAACAGCTCAGGGATTTCATCCTACCTCAACAGAACTGTCAAAGCCTAACAATTCTACTTTCAGTACCTTCAAAAGACCAGTGATGCTAACAACACAACCTTATTCAAAGGTAGTTGCTAACCAAATTCATATCTTAATACAGTCCTTTCACTTACAGCTCTCATTCTGCAGAGTTTGGTTGTACCAGACACACCATTCTTCATGAATGTCACTGTGCAATGTCTTTCCCTGTCTTTCCTTCCAAACCTATCAGTTAGCTATAGAGTTGACAGCTTAACAGCATCTCCCACTCTGAAGCCTCAAGCTCAGATCTCCAGTTAGTCACTTACAAACCTCAGCCCAAATCTCAGTCAGGAAGCAAAGAGGAACTTAAAGTATTATAGCAGATAAAACAGCTTATTGGCTCTTAATTCAAATTTTGTATGCTTGCAGACAAAGGGGAAGAAAAAGAGATTAAGAGAGAGTTTGAAGTGAAAATTTTGCAGCCTCTCAATTATCAGCAAATATTTCAAGATTCCCCTTAAATAAGTATTTCCCCTAAATCCTCCCAATTAAGTCTGAGGCAAAGATTTGATTTGAAGAAAATCAGTTCCATAAATCCCTTGTATTTACACTGTGATATCTGTTTGTTCTTACATGCATGCCTCCACAGCAACAGCAGTTATATTGTTTTGAAAAACTACTCTGGTTTCATTTTTTCAGCAATCAATAGCATTTAGATTCCCACTATCATGAAGATGACCTAACAAATTAAGTTCATATACAAGATCACTTTGCCCAATCTAATTCGGATTGACAGGCTGCTTGAAAGTGGCAAGAATGTGGAAGAGAGGCAGACAGATAAATCATGGATCATCTTGGACTGCTGCTAGCAGGATACATAATAATCAATACACCAGCCAACTTCTTGTTCAAAGACAGGAAAAGGGGCCACATTCAACAGGAGCATTTTGCAGCCAAAAGTTAGAGATGCTGATGGAACAAAGCATCCCTTTTCATCCCCTAAAAATTACCTCCTGCAATTTTAAGGAAGTCTTCACCTGTTGCCTTGTATACCTAAAGGAAAAAAAAGGAACATGTGATTGGCATGTAATTTGCATTCATTTCAAGAAGACGATTTCAAAGCCCACCATGTCACCCACCTCTATGTATCGGTTCCCCATGTGATGCTTGTGCCTTTGTAGTGCCAGATCTCTGTGCTCTTCGCTCACGAACCTCACAAGAGCCTCCCCATTCCTCCTACCTTGGGCATTGAGACAGAGTGCAGCACCTCCTCTGCAAGATTTAAATCAAGAGATGAAACTCCATGACCTATGCAGCTGAAGAGCCACAAAGGTACAAGTAAATTCTTCACTACTAACTTGGCAATATTTAGACCTTTGAAGAACCTCGCTATGTCCTGGTCAGATGACTGCCATGGCAATCCTCTTGCTCGGATAACAGCATTGTCATCCACAAGTTCCATCTTGCTGCTGCAGGCACAGAAAGAAGTGGTAATGCAGAGACATCTGTCATACACCAACCTGTCTGCTCATCATTTATACTCCAGGAACAGGCTTCTGTCCCTGTTCCATGTCTGCTGGATAGCAATGCCAAGGCAGTGAGGCCCAAGTGCCACCAACAATTGAAAGCTGTTGTACAAGTCTCTCCAAGGGACAGTTTGCTTTGTTAAGTTGCCCTTTCCAAATTCCCCTTTCATGTTTTACCACATTTACTCTTTGAGCTGTCATCTCTTCAATCATATTCCCAGTTAATTTCCCTTTCCTGACATCATTTGTCCTTCTCCATTATCTGAAGAGGGTTACTGGTATAAAAATCAAGTACCTGCAGTTCCAGTCTAGCTAGGAAGATATTGAAGCAGAACCATTAGATATAACAGACATTAGTGCTTATTATTTCTACTGTGACAGTGAATAAGAACCAGTCACAAGCCAAGACCGAATCTGTTCAGGGTGTACCCAGCACACACAGGACTCTGGCCTGAAGAGTCAAGCCTTAACATTGCTGGCTGGGGCCATCACTGTGCCACTAGAGACTAACATAGCTAAAGGCTACATTGGCTGCTTAGCATGGGAATAGCTTAGCCACAGAAAGCCAGGTTTAATTGGTCATTACTACAGTCCCTTTTGTTCCCTTATTTCTTGAAAGTGTCAAGTTCAACAAAACCTCACAGCTGCCCAAGCCTGCCTGTCTGGTCATCACAGGAACAGCTTTTTTGCACAAAAGAGCTTAAGTGATTGATTAAGTAGATAAAGTGTTGCTCAGTAGTAGAGGACTCTCACATACAAAAGGGCTGTGGTATGCCTGGTGGGTCATGTTTAATTTCTCAGGTGGTCTTTCTGTAGATGTCTGTCTCAAACTGTTCCCCCTTACCTCCTAGTTCTGTACTTCTCATTATCTCAAATAAAATGTGAACCTTCCACTTCATCCCAGAATTCCGTTAGTGAAAAGGAAAAAGGTTAGAACAAGGCTGAACATAGCCTCTGAGCTAATCTCTCTGGATACTGTCTACCAATGTTGCATTTTTTCTTACTTTTTTTGACTCAAAAGTATAAGCATCATCTACTGTTATGACAGATCCTTAATCTGAAAGAGGGAAGTGTTTGTATAAGATGGGAATATAAATAAGGTCAGTTTAACACTAGTATCTTGTGATATTGCAGAGAAATTATTGAGAAAACCACTGAGAAAAATCTGTATTTACACATAGAAAAAAGGCAGTTATACTAAAAAAAAACAAGCCCATAATCAACTACCCAAGCAACAAAGCAGGCAACAAAAGCAGATAAAGCTTTATGCTTAAAACATATTTGGGAATAAGAATCACCATAGATTAAACAACTGAGTGGTAGCACAGTATTCCTGGCACGATATCTTTATAAAAGTGTTTTTTCCCTATTAAAAAAATTCTGTATATGCAGTACCTGTGCAGTAAATTGCAGGAAGAGTGCAGTAGTTAGTACCTAACAGGGTTATTTCTGAAACACTGCTCATTCTTTGTTAATAGCACAACACATTTAGTACCCATTATAAGCACTTATTAGCAGAACACAGATCTCGGCAGCTAACAGGCAACACTGAAGCCTAACAAGAAAACCGGTTTGTATCTGATCATAGATTGCCTGTTCCCTTTCCCACTTGAAGGATCTAATCAATTCCCCTAGCAGTGGGAAGGCAAATAAATATAATGGTAACAGCTATCAGCAAATTAGGAAGAGAGAAGTACAGCTGATCTACACAGTAACCTTAAATAAAAAGTGACGGGGGTTGAAACACATGCAACAAGAAGAGGGAGGAAGTACTTACCAAGGTCCACTTTCAAATTTGTAGTTTACCCTTTCTGGATCTGAAAATCTGTGATCTATGAAATAGAGCACAAGTTATTTCCTATTTTGTCAATGTACAGGACGGGCAGCAAAACCAAAGAAGAAACAAAAACTCATTCATCATCATCACTTACTGTATGGTTCAGATATTAATGTTAAAACAATATTCCCCATATCTTCAACTTGAGAGGCTCCATAGGGAAATGCTGGACTGCTCTTGTCAAGATTTAAATCTTTTTGCTGGAGTTAAGTCAATCATCACCAAACAGATTTCTAATTGGTTTCCTGCTATAGCAACTTTCATGTTGTCCTTGTAAGTTGCTTCTCAGAGGAAGATTTAATCCATCTTCCTGCTGGGATACATTAGCTGCTCTGCCTTGGCCTCGAGTTACTGCCACCTGTGGGAGTGCAAGGTCACTGGAGAAAGCATCTGGGGACAGGAGACCCCATAATAAGGGCATGTATTTAAAATGTTTGACAGATACACTGATGCATGTGGAAGAGACTGGAGCCCTGTGCTCTTTAATTAACATCCTCTTTAATCTTCAGGGGAAGATTTGGGGCAGGAGAAGAAGCAAACAATCAACTGAAAGCTCCAGAAATGGAGGGATATACCACATGATTTTTGACCAGGAAAATCCCAAAGCAGAGCAAGTATCTCACCACTTCAACAAAATTCATAAGTGACACCTTGTCTAAACCTTGCCCACTCTTAAAAGTTATAACCCAAGTTTTGTGCTGTTGCACAGAAGCATTTTGAGAATCTGGTTAGAGTCACCAGTCATGTGTTTTGCCAAGAGGTAAAACAGAGCCCCACAACCCATAGCTTCAGTCCAAAGGATTTTGGAAATGACTGCAATAGAGAGCAGGAAGCATCCTGTCCCAGGAAGGCCTTAGAAAGACTTTTTTTTTTCCAGACAACTGTAAACAGTTTACTATGGTATCTCCTCTTTTCCATTATATTTGCCTCTCTCCAACACCAAGCTACAGGACTGCAAGATTATTTGCAGTTCTACTCCATTCTTCATTAAGTAGATTTTTAAAAAGGTCTTCTTCATTCTTTTTCTTTGAGGACTGAAGGGCAAAAAATGTAATCAAGAACAGAACAAAAATAAGGAAATCTGGGAATAAGTGTTGCACTTTTTACTCCCTTTATCAGTTTGCATCAAGACTTCAGAACAAAAATGAGAGTTTCTTAAACAAGACCCATCCTGACATGGAGGTACAATAATGCAACACATTGAAAACAGCCAAGGGCATCAATTATTTGCCCACATGCTCCCCAGACTACATTAAACACATCTCAAATGCTCCAGAGCCCTCATTATGATGCCCAAAGGTTGCTACATAGTCCAAGACAGCACTCCTATTTTAAGAGGAAACCTGCTTTCTCTGCCTAGATCTGAGCAACATTTGAGTTGTCAGATGCCTACATGAAGTGCAGGGAACAGAACAGTTTCTGTTAGAAACAAACACCTCATACCAGCTTTGTTGTATCATCTCATCAACAGGTGAGCCAGCACAAATTTCTTTGTGGAATAAGGTCTTCCCTATTATTCGTAGGATGACAGCAAGTCATCCTACAGAAACAGATTTTTAGAAAACTGTTTAACAGTTGTCTTGTTGCAAGTGAAAAATAACTTGAACTGAATTAATGCATTCCTCTAACACAGCAAGGAAAGGAAAGCTGCTGTGCCAACAATACACTTCAGGCTAATTTGATTTTGAAGCTTTGCTGGTTTTAAGTGTGCATTGGAGTATGGAATGTGAGAGGATGATGCTTAGTCTTAGAAAAACATTTGAAGCTTAAGTGAATTATCTTAGTTTAAAAACCAGAATATGTAAACCAGTGATCCCTCTCCTCCAACTGCTGGACTATAAATAGTTTCCTAGTTATTGCCTTTACCCTCCCCCTCCTAGTACCTTCTTTGAGGTAAAGTACTGAGAACATCATATAGTTTTCTTAAAAACCAAGCCAAAAAGCCTGAGCAACTCCAAAGCACGGTTTAAGAGATTATGACTATTTATGACAACAAAAAAATTCTTAATCACAGTCTCTCTTCCTAAGCTTTAAACAAGCTCAAGCTCACTACCTCCTCTGCCCCCAGAAAGGGGGGGTTGGAAAAAAAAAAAATAACCCACAAAGAGACTCTCGCAGAGAGGGTGCCTAAGCAGCACCACACAGATGTTTCTGGGCACCTTGTATATCAGAGCAGAGGAGTGCTCCTCCTCCCTTTCCTGACACTGCTCCCCCCTTAGCACCTAACAGCTCCACACTGGGCTTGTGCAGAGCCTCTGCTGTTCACAGAGGGAACCAGAAGCTGCTGATGGTGCAGGTGTTGGAACCCCGGTCTTGCCCAACCAAGTTTTATGAAGATTTTGGAAAAGTGTTTCCTCTGTCAAAAGTCAAGAGAAATAGGGCAGGAGTTTCAATAGTTATTCCAGCAGGGGACATGCATACACATGTGCTTGGCTGTTAGACTGTGCTGTCAGAACTGAGAAGGCATTTCAATATTTCCTTTGTGCTGAGCCAAAGATCCCTACAAGTGATCAGCATTTAGAGAGGGGAATGAGCAATGTGAGAGGTGCAGGAATTTGAAGAGAAGCCATCACACAAGATAAAAAACAAGGACCCCACCCCATAATATTCTTCAGTGAAACTGTTTTCTGAAAACACTAGTCCACAGGAGAGGCAGTTCCTGAAAATGCTCTAGTGCCAATAGAAGCTGGTACTAGTTGTAAAACACAGGGAGTCAGTTGTGCCAAACTCTAGAGAAATATAAACACAGTGGAGAGGAGGAAGTAAGTCATCAACATTATTGCAGGCATAACCTCACAGCTTCACCTCTGATTAGTTAGAAGCACAGCTTTTCAGCAAGACTGCAGAAGAAAATTGATCATTTTCTGCATGTTTAAAGAACATATTAAGTAAAAATCTGTATTCTAATGAACAAGATTGACTACACAGAGGTAGACATCTATGGACAGAGGCACTAGAAATTATGGTACTTGGGAAAAAATAGAAATGAAATAGTCTATAAAGCCTATTCCTTGTTCTGTGAAGGGATAGGAGACCACATATATGTTTCTGTACATTCATATTTAAGGGATGCTTCTCCTGGGCAATTGGAGAAAGACAATTACAGGGGATAATCCAAGTTCACATTTAAAGAAGTGTTAGAAACCAGACATGGCTATCCAGAGCTAATATATGCAGTAGCACCTACATGTATATTCTTAATGAAGCAACAAGCAAAAGACAGTCCCAAATAAGGCAGGATGGGAAACAAGGAACTACTTAATCCTAGTATGCAGCTGTGGTACCACCTCCTGCAACACTCAGCAAGTTAAAGGGAGCAGGAAGGAAAGGTATATTAGGGTGACCTCTCTAACATGGAAGAAACTTCTAAATTATTTCCTCAGATGTAGCGCCACAGCTTCATTCACTGCCAGTGTCCTCCAAGACTTATTCCTTCTCACTGTCTCTTAACTCCTTTCTCATTGAATAACTAACTTAACCTGAGATGACATGAAATAGCATTGCAATTGTGCTCTGCACTGATGCTTTGCCCTTTGTTCTGTTTCTTATTTAAGTCCCCTTAGACAGAAGATTACATCTTTCTACATAATGCTTTGCATAAATGTAATGTAATATAATATTAGCCAGTTCCTGAGTACTATTACAGGAAATACAAATAGCAATATCCAAGATTCTCACCTAATAACCAATTATGGGCATTTTATTGCTAGAGTTAAGCACTATTGGTTATAATTGTGCTCCATATTATTGTTTCGAAGACACCCAGGTAAAAACACAAAAACAAACCAAATAATAAAACCCCAACAAATCAAGTTTCAGTACTACAATATCCAGCATATTAAACAAGTTGTTCTGGAGTGCCCCTGAGTTTCTACTGACAACACTGGCAGATACTCCTAGTAAGAAGTTACCCTCACACATCCAGTTCAGAAGTGAATGGAGCAAACCAAGTACTGGAGGAAGTAAGAGCTATTTGCCATTTAATAGCTTCTGCACACCCAATCTCGAGGCAAAGGATGAGTCTTCTGCAAACCTAATAGGAATAGTCATGCAAGCTTTATTCACTCCACCCTGAAGGCACTCACAGGCTGAAAACTGGCTCAGCAAGCTTTGCAAATCAAGAAGTGTAGCAAGTATGGGAGGTATAGAGGGTGCAAGAACAACCCTCCTCCTTTGTATGCTTACACATTAAAAAAAAAAAAAATGTCGACAGACCCAAGTTCTTTTCTCTGCTGCAACATGATCGCTTCCCTCAAGTTTTGTTACTCAAAATTTCTCATAATTGTCCTGCTGTCATTACACTTACACAATTCTGACAAAGTCTGCCAGAAAGCTGTCTCATATACAAGAACTGTTTTGACACTATGAGTTAGGCAGCAGTAGTACTCAGAGATAATTACAACTAGTCTCAGTTCTGCCTTGGTCCCTTGAATTTCATAGCATTTTAAACATTGCTTTACTTTTATCTAAAAGAAATGAGTTGCTGTTTGTTGTGAAATGTATAACTTCTTGCAGGGATTGGGAGTAAAGATTTGTAAAGCTTTCACCTGAGTTCTTAAGTTTGGCATGGTTTCATTGCTGTACACAAGTTTCAAGTAGCCTCCTGAGAGAGTAAGTCCACAAAGTACTTTCTAAAGGAAAACCCAGCCAGTTATTCAGTCTATTATCTCTATGCTCTTTTACAGGATTGTGCTTGCCTTGTCTGCAAGAAATACATAGCCAAGCACCTACATTCCAGTGTACTGTATACGGAAATATGTATCTGGAATTGACTGTGCTGTAGGAAGTTATCTCCCCTGACAGCTGGGAACAGCTGTGTACATTTCTCATTTGCCTGTAATCTGTTATTTGAGCAAAAGTGACCCATCAAAACAAAAGCTTTTGAAGAATTTAATAACTTCAATGACTGTAGATTAATACCCAACTTTCTGCTAACTATTTCATATAGTAAAAGTTTCCTCTTACTGATCACAACCAGGCTATACACATATAAATGGAGACGTAAGCATATGAAGGGATGTGCCCAAAAATCCTTCTACTCATGCTTCTACCAGTCTGTAAATGCAGATCTCAAATATCCAGTCAGCTCCATACCAAAACCTCTATCCTCACCAAATGCTAATGTATCTATAGTTTCTGTGGCAGAAATCGTGGAAGGGTCATACACCCTCTTTACCTGTGAGGCCAAGAAACTGCACTTTCTACCAGAATAAAAAGAACTTGATCAGATTCTATGAGCTATTCTGCAGCTTCATTTCAACCTCCTGTACTTATTTCTGATTTGTTTTTGTGTCCACACTCCAGCATATCCATACATGAAGGAAGAAGAACTAAACAACTCTGCATACAATTTATGGAATTAGTCTTTAGACTCCACAACTGCTTAAACAATCTTTTTATGCTAAACATCACATACACATCCCTGGTCTACAAGGGCAATTAACCTGTGCAGCTTCTGACACTGAGGAGATTAAGTTGATATATTTCAGCAAGATGAGGAGAGAGAAAATTATCATATTTGCCAATAATAGAAGAACAAAAATTGTTTTACCCTTTTTGGTCTCTGCATCCTCTGCTACCACACTCACACAACTAATAGGGGAAAGACAATTGATTTTAGCCACATTGCATAAACATAGCAAGTTTACAAATAAGAGCCTCAGCAGTCACAAAACAAAATAAGCCACAAAAATAAGTGCAAAACAAGAATGAAGCTAGGTTAATATACCTTAAGAAGCATATCTTATCCAGAACTGGGACTCAAGCTGAGTGTATTTGGATAGACTGACTAAGCTTCTGGGAACTTAGAGAAAATATTACTGGCAATTGCCAAAACTACTCTCAGGCAGCACTAACTCTAACTCCTGACAGTTACCTGGCTGGGTGGTAACAGGTAACAGAGTGGTCTGCCCCCTCTCCCAGCAGGCAGGGAATACACAGTCCATCACCACACCCTGGCTGACCAGTGACACTCCAGGTAGCTACAGTCATACAACTCCTTCCACAGTGGAAAAGCATACCCCAGACATTCACATAAGGAGAAAACAAGGGCAACTCTCTGAAACAGCTAAAGTAGCTCATTGTCTTTAATTTCTCCAGATTGTGTCAAAACATTCCCTAAACAATGTATTAGATTTTTGACCATAACTTTAAGAAGTCTCCATCATCCAGTTTCAATGCACCACAGCATTTAAGTCACTTTTCTACATAAAGATTCAGATCCATTCACACTCTAAGTGTACTGCTTTCCTTCAGAATATGGGGAGAAATAATTTTTGCCCCTTCATTAGCCAAGATTAAGATTAACTTGCAGACAACAAAGCAGAGGAGAATGGTTAAACACAAAAATCTACCCCATATGTGTATTTTATGCCCCCAACAGGTACAAAGCCCAGGCAATACTAGTTCTGCAGTGAAAGCCAAAAAATTTCTGAAGCCACAGACATCACCTCTTAATGGCAACCACTCCAGGGACACAATAAGCAAGTCAGAAGAAAAGTTATTAAAAACAATAGCAGCAGCACCAACCACCAATACCCAAGACAAATACCTCAAATTCCTTTATTCCTCCTTGATACTTGACTTTTGTGACCACTACTCCAACAGCTCAGTAGCTCTGTGTTGAGGAATATTTTTGGGATAAGGACTGAAGCTTGCAGCAAGAGGGGAGACTGCCAGGGAAGAAGGCACAGCCAAATCACAGCTTCAGCTCTCAAGTTCAGACTAGGGAAGAGACAGGATGGGGTTACAGACCCCTTGAGACTATTCAGAAAGTAGTTTTAGACATCCCTATCACTGAAAATGGAAACCTACTACTGACTGCATCTTGGTGCCAGCCAAGCCTCACCCTGTGAGGTGTAGCATGTGCACCTTCTCTGAGACTGAATACCACATGTTGCAACAGCATTCCTGTGTTAGAGATTCACTACTAGGTCACACCAAGAGTAACCATCTCCTCTCCTGAAAACTAAGGTGGTCTCCCAATATTTTCTCTTGTCTAAAATAAAATAAAAATCTAACTGATGCTGTAAAACTCAACCCCCAAACTTAATATTACAATTCACAACAGCAATCTGAAAAAAAAAAAAAGTGCTGCTGCACCATCACTGTGACATTTAAAGAGAGACAAATATCAAGATGGCAAAGAAAACATACAGAAGTCAAGAAGAAATACAGGATTTTCTCCATGGAAGCATTCATCCTCATATGCTTTTATCTTTATCTTTGTGAGAAAACTAAGTACAGCTCCGAGTCACTCATTAAAGTTATACCACCCCTAAACATGTGTTGCAAGCATTACTCATACACCTCTGTCCTAAAATTCAGCCAAGACTGTAACAGCAGCAGAGACACCATCACTGTTGAAAGGATACATTCTGTCATGGCTGCAACATCGAGTTTGCTAACTTCAGGTGAGCCAGGGCAACACTTCTTGAACTCTTTCCGCAAGTCAAAAAAGGAGTAGAAGCATTCAGGCAGTGAAATATTCTGTAAAAGGAATAAAGTAACCACTGTCAATTAGGGTGAGTTTAACCTACTTTGTGTATAGATACCAAACCTTCTAACAATAGCTTTAGAATAGATAGGAAACACAAACAATCTCTTTGCAACAGATTGCTCTTCATAGCTCTTCTTAGCCAGGTACGTATGTTCATAAACCTTTTTTTTCTTAAACAGCTTTCTCTTTATATTGTTTACTAAGAGAAACGTGCTTTTGCACTGCCAGATAAACATTTGCCATTATTACTAGAGCTTCAAATCCAACATATATGTAGCAGAGAAAATGCCTCCTATTGCAAGATTTATCATCAGTTCTTGATTACAATTTTAGCTATATGAAGCCAGAGGGTAGTCAGTTCAGTTTGTAGAATTAAGCAAATTTCACAAGACTAGCAGATATTTTAGTTTATAGAAAAGGCTCTTTTCAGAGAATAGTCACACTTCAAATATTTATTTCCAACAAATAAAAAATCTGACTGTGCAGAAGAGGGTTTGACATGGTGCAGAGGTTGTCAGCCCATGCATGGTAACTGCTTTAACTGCAGCATACAAGGCCAGAAGCAAGTTATGCAGCCCACTAGAAGTCAACGAAACCCTTCTTGCCCACCACTACATCTACCACGTGCTTCTAAGCTTTTTAGGAGTGGAAAGGAGAAGACATGGAGAAGTCTTGGGGGCAGCTCTTACAACCAATGCAAACCCTTATTCCTTCAGCTAGCTCTTCATCCCAGACAGAATACCTACCTACTCCTTTGGGCTGTTTGTTGCCTGCAAGGCCTTTGTGGACTACAGATAAAGGCTTTCTGGGATTTAACAACTAGTTAGCATGTTGGCATTGTAACACATAGCAGCCTATGTGAAATCACATCTTGGGAGCCCAAAGAACACAGTTTAGGCTCTAAAACAAATTCTGCTTTGAGAACATTAGAGCTTATCTTAGCATATGGACCAGTGTATTAGGCAAACTATACTCTTTTAAGACTTATGAAAATGCAGATGGGCTTGCCAACATTTCCTGCTCTAGTTTTAGCAAGATTTTCTTCCTTGATGTGAAATGAAGTTCTGTACTTCATTTATGTTCTTTTGGAATGGCTGATGCCAATTCATTCTCTGAATACCAGGAGTTGCTAGATGGCTTCAGAATGGATATCTTAGAAATAAATATCTTCTCAAGAGCCTACAGATTTCTGCCTATCTGGATCTTAGTGATCCCACACTCCGATCCCTGCATTAGAATATTCATCAAAAAACTATTACAAGTCTCATAAGCATCTGGTTTACTTAATCTACAGGCAGCACAAGGTAAATTACAAATGGACCATTCTCAACAAAAGAGCAACAGAAGAGTTCGATAAAGATGTGATGCCTGTCTGCGATTATGTTATGATACAGGAAAAGGATCCCTGACATCAAACCAACTAAAATAACTGTAGGATGTGTCCCTTCTTTTGCTCACATAATTTAAATGGATAACAAATTTTACTTTATTAGCCAAGAAGAAAGTCTCTTAAAAACCTGTTTCCACATTTTCTCATGCTTTATGTCATAGAAGGCAAGTTACATATATAAGAACTGTCCCTTCACTGTGAATAATGCTCACTGTTCCTCTTCTAAGCCTTCAAAGCTATCAATACTTAAACCACAAACAAGTTCTACAACCAAGCTCATTCAGTATCACTTCTGTAACAGCACAGACCTGCAGCAGTGTCCCTTCAAAGATGGGACAGCAAATTGATGGGCACAGAAGTCAAGTACAATGAGAGGAGCAGAACAGCTCAGTTACAGAGCAATGCATGTTCATACCAAACCACAAAATGAGGTGTTATTAATATTGAGGCAGCTATTTCAGAACCAGAGAGACTCACATATTGCTGCAACCCTATCACTAAAAAAAATGCAGGCAGGACTCCATAACACTGTTAGTGATTTGGCAACTCTGAAGTTATGGAAAACTCCAGACCACAGGACAATCATCACTCACAGCCTGCCTCACTCTACTGTTCAGCTCCTTACAAATATGAACACTTCCCTTGGAGTGTCAACTCAATACCCAAAGATTGAAAGTTGATATAACTAGGCACTAATGTAAAATTTCAAAAAACAGTTTATGGTTAAGATGGTTAATTATTTAGCAACAATCTCACATCCTACCTGTTAACCCTGTAGAAGCTACAAGTATATTGTATATATATAGATACAATATGTTGCACCTTTCTCAAGAGCCTCTTCCTTCTGATTTAACTTAAAAAGGCATCTCAAGACCACATAAGGACAGGGCACTGTACATGCCTTCCACACAGACAGGCTCTTTAGCCTCTAAGCACATTACATATGAGCAATGTTTGTGCTGCAGTTGTCTGGAGGTACCCTCATACCAGAGAGAAGTTGATTTGTTTTGCAAGAAATCATAAAAAGCACATTAAGAGTAAGACTTAAGCTACAACTACATACCTTTTTGGAAGCTTCAGGGTGTAGAACCTGCCTAATGTGCAACTGTCCATCAGTACAGAAACAGAAAGATGTACCCACACCAATGTTCAGTTCATTGCTCACAGACTGATTAAACTGTTGGCAGGAACAAGAAAAGACATACACGTTACAGAGATCAGAGTGGCACCACTAGGCAGCGTCATCAGTTGGTAACGTTATTCCTGGGCAGCAGGAACACAGACCTGGAATTCTTTTTCATATAAGCCTATTTCTTCACTTCTGTAGATTTGTTTCTTACTAGCTAAGCACATGCTAACTTCCATGATAAATCTCTTCACAAGGAAATCACCCCTTTCTCCCCTTCTAATGAGATATGGCTACACAGACAGCCCACACCACAGAATAAAATCCTTTTCAAGATTTGCAAGAGCATTGCAATGAGACAAAGCTGATTGCAAAGACCTGAGGCAGTACTGGGGCAAAAGAGTTTTTTAGACAGGGCATTCAAACACGTCAGAAAGAAGACAGGCTTTCAGCCCTACCCTCAATGGGAATCACACACACTTCCTTGTTAATCTAGAGGCTTCAGCACCATCATCTTCCCAGGACTGACGAGCACAAGCCTTAACAGGGGACACCTAAAGCTGGCTTCTTCCAACATTGATTAGGGCTCCCCCTCAGCTGAAACTCACTCAGGGTCCAGCATGGCAGGAGAGCAGAGCAGGGCAGGGAAATAGCTAACCCTAACCTTCCTCTCTTGGGGCTCAGTTCTTCCCAAGGCAAATAAAGAGACGGCAAGGGAGAAAGCCTATAACTGTAAGGCTTTGTGGGCCTTTCTGGCCCACACGTGTTTGTGCTGCTCCCGTACCAGGCTCCACTGCTCTGATGGTGGCGGTAAGCAGACGATGATACCACCTCCACCCCACGGGGGAGCTCCCCAAGGAGACCGGCACTCAGCGGCCAGGTATGGGGTGTCACCTGTCTCAGTGCCTGCTCCAGCGGTGGAGCCAGTGCCAGGCTCTCCACATCCACTTGGGTGATCTCGTGGCACTCAGCCGTCAGTTCTGTGTGGTCAGGCCGGACCAGCACGTCATGCAGGTGCCCCAGCTCCAGAGAAAGCAGAGGAGGGGGTGAGTCAGCGCTCCGGGCTGAAAGTCCCCACCTGCAGCACCAGCCCCGACCCTCCACCAGAGCTTGCTCCAGCCTGGGACACCCACTACCAGCCCAGCGCCGAGACCGCCCTGCCCGCATCCAGCATGGCAGGCGCCAAGGGGAGCAGCAGGTCGGGGTGCTCCCCCGTCGGGTGAAAATACCTCCTTACTCCTCAGGTCGACCACTTTCCACAGGAGCTGGAGCAGCTCTCGCTCGTCTGAGCCCAACCTTGCCCCGTTGGTGCCCGCCGTGGTCACGAAGAGAATCACCAGGTAGTCGGGAGACGCCGTCATCGTGCCACCGGGCCAGCAGAGAGGATAAAAAGAAGGAAAGGGAGAAGAGGGGAAAGAGAAGAAGCCGGAAACTTTCCTTGCCCCAGGCGCTTCCAAGCGAGACCCAAGCGGCAGAACCCCCAGCTGCAGCCGCACTCCCCAAGGACCTGGCGTGGGGGAGGCGCACGGCTCCCCCTCTTTCCCACCCCCTTTTCCCCGAGGTGGGTGTAGCCGCTCCCGCACCAACTGCACTGCACTCCTGGGAAAGGCGCAATGGCTGCGAGCTTTTCTGCGCGGGGCCGCGGCAGCACCTGCCCGCCCCCGGCCCACGTGGTGCAGGTAACACACACCTGGCGCCGCCGCCCATTGGCCCCGCCGGGTGGGGACGTGGCAGCGCGCCGGGGGCGGCAGCCGGAGTGCGGGGCCGGGATTGCGGGCGGGACGCCCGGCGCGGACCGGGATTGCGGAGATGTTGTGGAGGCGCGACTGTGGAGGAGCAGCCCCGGGCCCCTGAGCAGCCTCAGCGTGCCCGGAGCCTGGCGAGCCGCGCCTTCCGCCAGCGAGGTGCGCTGCACCGGGATGGTGCAACTCCTGAGCGACCGGGCGGGATCGCCCGGTCCTGCCGGGACTTGCCGCAGAGGGCACTTCTGCTCCTGCCCTGCTCCGGCAGCTCCGTCCCCCGGACGGACGGGCAGGGGAGATGGCCACGCCGCTCGTAACAGCCCCGGCGGGTCCCCCGCTTTGGTCGGGCCCGGAGGGGCCAGCGTGGTGCCAGGGAGCGCTGTGTCGGCGTGCGGACCGGCTGCCCCCGGAGCAGCTCCCAGGGAGACCAGCGGCTCAGGGCACTAATGCCTTTTCCTCTGTCCTCCTTAAGGCAGCGGCATCGCAGCTTCTCTACGGTTCTGGCACGGCGGATCAAGTCGTGTGTTAACAGCTGGCTGGTTTGGCCGTCGCAGCCTTTCCTTGATGAGCCGGTGATTTTGGCTCTTTTGACAATCTCTCTTGTTTTATGGTAAAATCTCTATTTTAAAATCTCCTTTTTAAATGCATAATTCTCCAACACAAATTTTTTTCATCAATTCTCCAACACAAATCACAGAACGCAGAGTAAAAAGCACTAACTTTCTGCAGGGAAATCCTGTGTTAACTTAATTCTTTAGGATCTCAATTGTTCATTTCCAACTTCATTGAGATGCTGCTTCTTGAAATTTTTACTGAGATCACAGACTCATGGGATATACTGAGTTAGAGGGTGATGCCATTTGGGCTTTGCCTTTTTTTATGTTCTCTGTGTTCTTCACACATATATTTGTAACTAATTGAATTTGTAATTCAATTAGTAGCTAGTTTTCCCAGTACTTTTCCATGGCCTTTCCCTAAGCAGAAAGACAAAACAAACTCCAGAGCTCTAAGCCCCGGGGGGTACAAGGCCCCAGCAGTTCTGGTTCTTGGTTCTTCCTGGGAACCAAGGCCGAGAATGACTCTTGGAGATACATTCTCATGGACAAAGTACAGCCAGTGCTGAAGGAGGGGGCTCCAGAGAAGGGGCTTGACCTGGGGGGGAATTGAATCACCACTTGTCCTTCTAATTAGTGCTTTTAATCAGTTTTGCTAATTTCCTAAAACCTACAGGAATGTACTCACCCCTGGAGGGGGTAGATTTTTGTGGAAGTTTTCCATAACTGCCCCTGAAGGCCTTCATTAAAGATCCTCTTTTATATTACCTCCTTACTAAAATTATCTCGAGTTTCATTTCCAGGTTGGGAAATAGGCAACAAGGGGACCCATCAGGATCATTGAGTACAACTCCTGGCCCTGTGCAGGAAACCCCAAGAATCACACCATGTGCCTGAGTGTTATCCAAATGCTTCTTGAACTAATGAAGGCTTGGTATTGTGACCACTTCCCTGGGGATCCTGTTCCAGTGCCCAGGAACCCTCTGGGTGAAAAGCCTTTTATTGATATCTAACATAGACTTCTCCTGACTCAGCTTCATGCTGTTTCCTCAAGTTCTTGTCACTGGTCACAAGAATGAAGAGATACGCACTTGCTCCTTGTGAGGATGTTGAGGACAGTCTCAGGACAGATGTTGAGGTCTTGCCTCAGTCTCTTCCTTTCTTTTCAGCTGCTCCTAATCAAGTTTTCCCTCAAGGCCTTTCACTATTCTGATAGCCCTCCTTTGGACACTCTCTAAGAGGTTTACATCTTTCTTATATTGCAGTGATCAAAATGTCAAAAATACTGGAGGTGAGGCTGCCCCAGCTCAGAGCAGAGCAGGACAATCCCCTCCCTCGCCTGGCTGGTGCTGCTGTGCCTAATGCTCCCAAGACAGGGTTGGCCCTCCTGGCTGCCAGGGCACTGCTGACTCACATTCACCTTTCCACTGACCAGGACCCCCAGGTCCCTTTCTGTGGTGCTGCTCTCCAGCCTCTCGTTCCCCAGGCTGTCTGTACATCCAGGATTGCCCCATCCCACGTGCAGAATCTGGCATTAACCTTTGTCAAACTTCATACAGTTGATGATTGCCCGTCTCTCTTAATTTGTCAACATCCCTCAGCAGGGCCTCTTTGCTCTCAAAGGAGTTGACAACTCCTTCCAATTTGGTGTTGTCGGCAAATGTACTTAGTATGTCTTTGAGTCCCATGTCCAAGTCTTTAATGAAGACATTGAAAATAACTGGGCCAAGGATGGAGCCTTGTGGAACCCCACTAGTGACAGGTTGCCAGCCTGATGTCACCCCATTCACTATAACTCTTTGCACCTGACCTGTGAGCCAGCTGCTCACCCAACCTGTCAGTTCATTGTTCAGCTGTGTGCTGGACATTTCAATGAAGGTGTGCCTTGTGTGTTTCTTCATCACTATTCCTTATATATACTGCTGCAGGTTCACAGCTTGCACCACCTTTTATTAGCACAAACACATTTGTTTGTCAGGAAAGGAGCAGATGTGTTTCACCACTGCTGGGGATCCTGTCAGCCACTGACTTGTCCCCAGAATGCCTGGCATCCTCTTCCTGCCCTGCTGTGGTTTGGTGTAGCCTGGTTCTCCTTGTGGGGGCTGCTACCAAATTCCAGCATGGCACATGATGGCTGGAGTAATTTTCACTCTCTTTGGTTCGAGATTTCAAAATTGACATTCACTGGTAGCAGAGACTGCAGTTTAAGGGCTTAAAATGTCAAATTAATCCCTGCAGTTTTTAAAAGCAGTAGCTGAAATTTTTCATGTGAATCCAGTATCAGGAAACAACTAAGATAATTGTACCCTATTTGTCCAAGGTTTAGAGCACCTGGTTTTCTTTGTGCATTTGTCTTTTCACTTTTGATGCACAGAGTAAAACATTTGTGAAGGTCTGGAGTGTTTGTCCTCAGTAGTGGCTGCAGGTGATCTGTACTCAGCATCTGAGTGATGTTGGTCCTCACACAGGGAGTTTGCTTTGTGATCTCTGCTTAGGCTGGAGCAGCAGGATTCAATGGCATAGGATTTCTTTGTGCAGTTTCCCTTTCAGGTCTGAGTTTACTGCAACTTCTTAGAAAAACATTTATACTTTAGTACAAAAATCCAGCACGTTTCTGAAATTACTTCACAGTGGAGCATGCCAGACAGAGTTCTGGCTTGGCTGGCTGCTTGTCTTTCAGTGAAACTTAATCATATTTCTTAGGCAGTTTCCTTCTCAGTGCCAGCTTGGCTTTTGCGATGCAGCCCTTGTCTTTGGTAGAATGGTTTTTGGATGGGCACCTGTTCCTTCACTAGTGATTTGTTGTGTTCTGGCTTATGCACTTTTTTTTTCTTCTCTTCTGCCTTATTGTTTCATCCTATGTCTCTGTCCAGCTAGGGGCATGAGAGTTCCCAAATTATTGCTACAGCAGGCTGCATTATGTACAGTAACCCCTTTTAAAACTGAAACCGTACCCTGAAAGTATTTTAAATTCCCATTATGTATTTTGGGTTACTGGCTAACCCTTGTTTCATTTACTTGTTTGTTTATGAAGCTGCTTTTGCTATTGCCACTGTAGGGCCATTACCTTTTATTTTTCTCTTTCTTGGCTAATACATTCCCTAAAACACCTGTTTTCCAGTCACAGTTCCCATTCCACCCTCTTTCTTGCATGCTTGCAGCATCTGGTCTAACAACATGCACCAGCGGGTCAGGTTCCTGTGTTGTGTTGCCCAGGCTCTTGGCATTTGTGTACTCCCATTCCAGTTGCTTGTCCCAGGCCATTCTGTTATCCTGGGACTGGTTAAGGATGGTCTTTGCATGAAGTGTCACCTTCCAGATGACATGGGCACCAGTACAGGAAGGTACTGGCCTGCTCTGAAGCAGGGCGATCTCTCAGGGCTCCCCCAGCATGCTGTTGCTCTACTCATCTCCTCTCTGGCAGTCCTTTTGTTTCCTGCCTGCTGTCTGTCTGCCCAGCCCTTTTGCCAATCTCAATGTCAGCCGGTTTTTTCTGTCATTTTTCTATTAGTTCCGGTGATTTCCCACCACGTGTTCTTTTGTTCCAGTCACTGTAACAGGACAGTTCTGAAACAACTCACACCCTTCTTCTTGCCAAGGAGCTCACACCCCCCCGCCCCCAACACTGCAAGAGACTCTTATTTATTTCCTCCATTTTTCTGAAGCTTCCTTCTTTCACCCATTGATCCCCTTCCTAACAAACAAACAACCTGTGACTTTGCACTCCTCAATATGTCCAGATTTTTTCTGCCAGTTCTGCATCTCCCACCATGCTCTATTCCTCTACAGGAATTCACCCCAATACCACCTGCAACTGTTATCCTTTCCAGCACAGACCTTTGGCCTCTGACAAGTATCCCACCCATATCACTTTTCCCCAGTTTCCCTCCAGAATATCAGCTTCTTATGACTGAAATTGGAGAATCAGCTCTGTCATTCTTTTTTGAATGTGTTAATGTTCGCCACCAGTTTTTAAAATGTCTCTAAGATGACTGCTGTTCCTAACCAAATTCTGTTATCTCTGCTTTCATCAGTGGAGAAAATACCCCCCCAAAATACCCAAAT